AACTAAGTCGATTACTGGAAATGAAACGTTTAGTTACGGCAACTCCGCCATAATGCCAAGGGTTTTCAGGATCTACTAGTTCGGATGGGTAAAGGAATGGTTTATAACATTTGTACGCACAGGCCTCCTAGAGTCTCGTTATGCGTAACGTCGTTAGCAAGGGGATTCTTGTTATACACACTGGGTGCGTAACAGGTCTACGCCGACGTTTGTTAACGAAGCCAGACGTATGAACAAATCTGCACTTTTCTAGCAGTCTGAACACTGTTAAGGCGGTTGTGTTAAATATCTGTGGGAATATCGATAAGAACTTTAGATTTATTCATTTTAGAGGTTTCGTCTGCCATCTCCATGGCACAGTCACATAGACAACGATAAGCTTGCCGTCCAAATCAGGAAGGACTGGATTTAGTTGTCGCCATAATTCCGAGGAAAAACATTTGCCCCAATTCAAGAATCAGTTATTCTATTCAATTTCTTAAATAATGCTCTTTGGTTGTGTAAGATGTGCGTTACCGTAGTTTTGCGGTGTAGAGCGTGAATTCAGTCCGTCGCATCTATCACTACATACACGAGAGCATACTACAATCATAAGCCATCTCAGGTATGTCTCTAGGCAGTAGTTATTCACTATTGATTAGGAATTGTTCCCATACATGTTCTGTGGCAAATATAAATGGAGACCCTAGAATTTCTTTATGCGTAACGTCAGTAAGTTTATCATACAGACTGTGTAACAGTCTCGCACCAGCGTTTGTTGACTAAACCAGAATCGTGACCAAATCAAACGTTTCTAGTACAATGGAGCCGCGGGGGACGAGCAGTCCCATCTACGAACATTTCAGGTAACGAGCGAGCCACTAGCAGAACATTATTTTCGATTGACGAGCTTCCGATCAGTTAATGAGCTGTTAGCGCGTGTGCGTGCCTGCGTCCGCGGTCGAGTCTTGCTCCCAGGGCATGGATACCCGGTCGCCTGCGGCCAATCAGTGAACCGATGCAGTTTGACTGACTACGTTTCGCAAGGCTAATGTTTCACATGACAAGCTCGGTGCCGGAACGGATTAAACTCGTTTACTGAGATTTAAGACCATAATAATGTGACCATGACATATCTGCTGGCTGTTCGATTCCGTTTCTTATAAGACGCTTTCTGGTCGTGTAAACTGCACGTTTCTAGTTTTCTACCCAAATGTTTTTGCCATAAGTAACTCGGATAGGATCGGAAAGTCCTCCCGGCAGGCATTGCACGGTTGCAACTGTTTAAGGATAAACGTAGATCCGGTGGGTTTCTAGTCAGCGATCTGAGCAGTCGTACGCACCCTACTCTAAGTTCGTCCTTTATGTGGACGTGTCGTACAGAAAAAAACCTGCGGTTAGTGTCGTCCGTGTTCTTAACCGGAGATGATGTGTTCTTTGTTCTTAGCTTTCATCGGGACCTCTCAACCACCCGTCCTGTCCTAGTATCTACTTAAAAAAGGGGCTTTGCAATTGCATCGGGCCTTA